CACGTTCCCATTCTTTTGTTGAAATATCATTCATTTGTTTATGAAATGTATAGGTTTTATCTGCTATAAGAATATCATCAAATTGTTTAATAATATATTCTCCATATAATAATTTATTATTTAATTGAAATAAATTCATTTTAATATAATTTGTTGGTTTACGTGATTTCAATGAATAAAATATTAATAAGAATGTGAAGTCCATATCTAATGATATGGGACTAATTAATGAAAACATAGTCTTCTTAAATACATCTTGAAAATGAACAAATATACTTCCTCTACTATTCATTATTATTAACATAAACCTAAGAGTTCTTATTAAAACATTATATTGTAATGGACTAAGACAAGTTTGAAGTACTTTATCAAATAATCTAACAAATGAATCATCATCATCTCTCATATGGTCGTGATAAAATTTAATCATTTCTCCAAATGATGTTTCTGATATAATCTCATCAAATGAACATAAATAATTCCTAATAATTAAAAATGCAACAGTAGAAGCTTGTTTTTTATCCATTGAATTAAAGGGTATTAATTTACCATTATGGTGATTATCAATATATTTATACATTTGACGAAGATCACTATCATCAATTCCTTGATTTTTTAATAATCGTTCTATCCAATAAGTATTAACATTTATTAGTGTTTTAAATCATAATAATTAACAAACTTCCAAAATTAGTTATATGGAAATATGCTTTAATTTTCTTTAATACAGTATCACATTCTACAATTCTGAATTTATATTTTCTTAGGTCTTGCATTTTTAATCGTGAAATAGTATTTCCGTCCATTTTATACATCTTAACTAAATCAACAAAATTCTTTGACATATTTTCTGATGCCCACAATAACGCAGTGTCATAAGTTAAATATTGTAATGGAACAGGTGGAACTTCTTTCTCTATTTTACTTAATAATTCAAAAAATCGAAATGCATGTTCAACAAACAAAGGAATTCCTTCAATCGTACATTGCTCCCCTTCTGTTTCATTTTCTTTTGTTTTTACAAATAAACAACAACTAGTAGTATTTCTTGTTTGTTCATTAAATGTACCAGTGCTTTTACTTTTATGAGACATCCGATTATCGAATTTATTAATTCCTTTGATATGTTTATTCAACTGTGCTGACATATCTCAATACATTTGTCAGTTTTTTTTTCTTAGTGAAAGATATTTTTTAATATATTTTTATTATTATTATAAGTTTTACCCCTTGGATTCGAAGGTAGCACGTCAAAGACACCACACAGAACCCTAAAATATTTCCATCCCTCGATTCCTCCCAGTTATGGACTGGTTATGACGTTGCGTTTGGTTAGAAAAACATCTTACCCGGTACTGCAAGAATAGCAGTGTTTATTATGTACAATGACAGAATATCATTGACAATAAACGAATAGGTATTTATAAAGATGTTATTATTACTTGTTAGAATACAAGTATTATTTGATAATATAAGAAAGATTATCAAAAGAAAAGGGTCAAGTGGATGAGGCTAAAAGAATATTAGCCCAAAGCAATACAATGGTAATTATATACTCTCCTTAAAATAAGAAAATAAAAAAGAAGAAGTCTAAACCCAAAGAAGAAGAAATTTAAACCCATCAAAATTAAAAAGAAATTAAATATTGAATATTTAAATAAGAGATGTTTAAATACTCTATTCCGCATCAAAAATGAGAAAAGAAAATTCTCACCGTTCAACAACTAAAAGCAAAGAATAAGCCAAAAGTTGAAGAACAAATACTTTTAAGCGAAGGGACGAGATTAGTAGTCTCCCCTGAGCAAGGAACAATAGAAGATATTTCTATTAATACTTAATTAACTACTTTTCATTTTCAAGTTTTACCCCTTTAAAGATTATTTTTCTCGTTTTTTATAAACTCCATTCATAAAAGAAGAAAATATTTCATCTAAAAAAAATATGAATCTATTAATAAGAGAGATGACTTAATTGTAACCTTAAATCTTCATACCGTTTCGTTAAATCATTAAATTCTTTAGAATATTTTTCTTTAAGTTGGATGATGTGTTTTTTATCTATTGATGAAGGGTCTTTGTTTAATTGTTCAATAAATATTGATTGTATTTCTTTTAACTTTTTAACAGTTTCAGAAAGTTCTAGTTGAATTGTAGAACGATTTGGTTTTGATGAAGTAGGAGAAATAGTATGTTTTAACGAATGACGAGAAGAGAGTTTAGGTTCTTTTGGAGATTTTGGTTCTTTTTGAGAGTGTTGGCGTTGTGAATCTTGATTACTAGTAATAGGTTCTTGTGGGCGTTGAGACTTTTTTTTGTCTTGAGATGCGTGTGTTGTTATCACTGTTACCTTTAATTTGTCTTTTTCTTTTCTCAGTAATTCTTCTCTCTTTTGTTTGTCTTTTTGTTTATCTAAATCAGATTGTGTATGTTGTTGAGTTTGACGTGAAAAAGATGGTGTTATTGTTTTTGTTAAAGGAATAGATTTTTGTTTTTGTTGAATATAAAATCCACTAATTGATAATTTATCATAAACAGGTGGAACAACACCTTCTTGAGATTTAAATATTGTCTTTTCGTGTGAATTTAGAGCTGTCAAAATAATTTCTTCATTTGGTAATATCAATTTAATAACATTATTTTCTTTTGTTATCCGAAGATTTCCTTTTCTTATTTTATCTGCAATGTCATTTTCTACTTCAAAATGGTAATACTTCTGTGATTCATTTGAAAGTGGCGTAAACATTGGTTTCTCTTTTTTAGTTTTTTTTAATTTTTCTTTATTTTTTTCTTATCACTAATGTTCTATTTATTCCTTTTCTCACTACAATTTTTCTGGGTTATAAGACATAATTAAATAAGATAAAAAAAAAACAAAAACATTAAGATAAAAAAATAATTATAAAATAAATAGAAAATCCGTAAGAAATAACCAACAGTTATGAGCTCAAAAAGAATATCACTAAGAAAAGGAAGATATTAACTATTTTGAAAAAAACTTAATTAATTTAAAAAGAATTGGTTGAATGGGAAAAACAATTAAACGGCAAATTAGTTACCATGAAATAAGTGAACAATTAAAGAAAGAAATGATAAATTTTGAAAAAGAATATAAATTAATTCCAACAAAAGGGTCAATTATGAAAACTTATTTAAAAAAATTAGAGAAGGAATTAATTTCTTTACATTCCATTCTCAGTTTACAAGTTCCAATTGATAATGTTGAAGATCAAATGAGTGTGTTAACAAACATTTTTGATATTTGGAGATTATTGATTGATATATTAAGAGGAATAGATCAATTATTATTACCTAATGTATTTTATAAGTTGTTAACTGTAATATTATTAAGGTTTGTTTTCTTTCAACAATGTTGTATATTTATCAAAAATATTAACATGAGATTAGAAGTGAGATACAACCACATCACCTTATAATTAATAATCCTGCTATGACTGATTCTAATAAAAGTCAGTTTATTGAAAAAGCAAAAGAGGTTAAATTTTTATTATATGACACGTTCTACGCAATGAATAATTTAATGAATGAAAAACAATTAATTCTTTATGGCTCTATGGAAATTCGTCTAAAACCTCCTAAAATAGAAAAAAAAGAAAAGAAAAAAGATAATAAAGATAAAGACTTTAAAGGATTAGATAAAACTCCAGAAAAAAAAAGAAAAAAAGTTGATATTATGATTAAAGACGCGTTACCTCAAAGTGCTATTTCACCAAGAGAAGATAATAAAGAGTTTCAACCTTCTCAAATAAGTGATGGAGAAAGTGGAGTTGGATCACCACGAGTAATAAATGGAGATGATTTAAATGAAATTTCACATTATGAAGAAAATTCATTATTAATGACACTTAATGAACAAAAAAGGTTATCTGTATTATCAAAAGTCTTAGTAAAACCATTAGAAGAAGCAAGAAAAACAAAAGAGGAAAATATGACTAAGAAACAAAAACGTTTATCTGCTCATTTTGGAGTTGAAATTGGAGCAGAGGATCAATTCTTTTTTGAGAACAATGTTTCTCCAATATTTGTTCAGTTCTTTCCACAATACATTGCATATACATTTTTTCAAATACCTGAATTTAGATTAGAATTATTACAATTAATAAGAGATGATAACATTGTTGAATTGGGTTTAAAGAAGTGCCAAAACAATGAAGAAATGAAAGAAATTAAAAAACGATTTCCTAGAGTATTTGGATTTGATGATATGTTTGATTTATTAGATGGAGATGAAAATGATATACAAGAACAATATTTTTCATTAAAAAAGAATTGGATGGAATTGTTTTTACCAACAAGTGATTTTTTTATGACATTTTTTTATTATTATGGACAATTTGTATATTATTCACTAAAAGGATATGATTTTGAATTATATGGGGAAATATTTGGATTAAAAGAACTTATTGAAGTTTATGTTAAACAACGAATTGAAAAGATTAGTGAACACTCTTCATTGTTAATGAGAGAAAATGATAAACGATGCGTGTTATTACATTATCCTTTTATATTAGATTATATGATTATTAAAATTATTCATAATACCAATGTTTATAACATTGAACAATGTGATTTTATGATTGAATCATTCTCAAAATGGTTGAATACTTTAATTGAACATCAACGATTTTGTACAAGTGATTTTATTCTTGACTCTTTTATGGGGGCATTAGATAAGATATTTGAAACTGACCATTTTCAATTAATTACATCAACTATCATAATGTTATTTAACTCATCTTACTATTTTATTGGTGAGCCAAGAATTAAATTATTTGTTGAATTTCTTACAAAAAAATGGTTCTTTACATTATTTACTCATTGGAATTATTATGTCCGTCAAGCGTTTCATCATTTCATTTTATATAAATTCCTTTTTACTAGAAGGTCTCATCTTAATTGGGCTCGTTTTGATAAAACAGAAACTGACGTATATAAAAGACAATCCTCCTTTGGTGTTAATGGTGAAGATATAGATCGATTTGTTTTAGCCTCTATTGATGAAAAGATCACTTCTATTCGTTTGGTTTGTGATGGAGATACAAATAAATTATTATTTACGAAGAAGGTCTATTGTCAAGCTGCATTTGCTGAATATGAAAAAGCACTCAAACTCTATAACGATTGGGATAAATCAAAAATATTAGAAATACCAAAAATCAAACCAAATTTGAGTGAATTTGATTTTGAGAATCTAAATTGATTAAAAATGTGTATTATTTATCGTTATGTATAACAAAAATGAATAGCACAAAAGGAAAACTTTGTAAAACATGAAACAAAATAATCTAAAAAAAGAATGAATGTGATTAAAAGAATGAAAAAAGAAAAAAAGTTGAACTTAAAATCAAAAATTTGTATTACTATGTCATTACTCAATGAAACCACAACACCAACTAAATTAAATAAGAAAAAGAAAAGTATTTTCAATTCAGATTGTATCACATTTACACCTATTGGTAGTGGTTCTTCAACACCTCGAAGAGAATCTATTATTGGTTCATTACTGAGTGATGAACTTAAAGAAATTAGTATCGAAAGTGTTATCAGTGAATTATATTTTGATCAATTAACATTAACTACATCAATAGTTCATATTATAAATATTAATTTACCAAAAACACATATTGTATTACATAAATTTATGCATGAATTAAATGAATTAGATAAATATGTTACAGCAGTATATGGAATAACTGCACCTTATTTACCAAAGAAATCTTTTTATCCATTGCATAATGAAGAAATAACACAATATTTACAAGAAGTTATTTGTCTTGATAAGTTTTTTGATTCGATTTATGTAAAAGAATTCTTTCGTGAAAACCCTCAAATATCACAATGTATGTCTTTACATCATCCTCAAATGTCAGGGTTATTAATGAAAGAAGGATATCTTTTAAAACGGTGGAAAGAACGTTTTGTAGTAGTAAAGAATTCATATTTATTTTATTTTGTTAGTGAAAAAAGTATGGTAAGACTAGAACAACCTCGTTGTATTGTTTCATTATCAGGTGCTATTCTATCAACGAATGGTTTGGTTATTAAAATTACTACTAAAGAACGTCAAGTTTTTAATTTTTCTTGTACTAATGAGACAACACTTAATCAATGGCTTGTTGCTCTTAATGCAGTTATTTGTTTTAAACCATCCCCACAAAAACAACAAAGAATGACAAAAAAATATACACTACTTGGAGTAGATGAACTTAATACACCAATACAATTAACTAAAGAAATTAAAACTGTCACTCCTCGAAGAAGTACAGAATTTCTTATTTCAAGAGTAAATTGTCTAAAAGATGAAGCAGATAAAATAATTGAATCATATGAACACCAACCAGATAAAGAAAGCCTTGTAATGGTATTAAAACAATTTAAACAAATTCAATCAGTAGATTTATCATCTACATCTCTCATAGATTATTACAATAGTAAAATTGTACAATTTGGAGATGATCCTCTACTTTTTAGATTTCTTCAAATTTTTAAAGAAATACGTGAATTAAGTGGAATACGTCCAAATGTACCTAAATTATGTACCTCTCCTTTAGGAAGATATAGCCTTCAATCAAAGTCTTCTAGTTCATCAACACAAACAAGTCCAAGAACTTTAACATCTCAAATTACTACTCAATGTCGATTATGTAATAACACTTACTATGTTGATGAATTAACTAAACATTCTTATTATTGTAAATTATGCAATGAGATTTGTCTTAAACAAACTACCTGTAAAACAAGGTTATTAGCAATTGCTGAAGAGATTAATAAACAAAAAAGATATCATAAAGGAAGTGTTGAATATTCTGGTCTTGCAGAAAAAGCTTTAAAATGTTCACAAATAGAAGTTATTAATCAAAATAATATTGATTATATGAATGATGCAGAACAATTATTACAACAAAGTATTACTCAAAAGAGTGATGTATGTTATAAAACATTTGCACTAATCGTAATCAAATTAATTAAATTAAGAAGACAAATGTTCATTAATATATTAAAAGGTGATTATGGAGAAAATGGCAATATGTGGGAATTCCTTTCTGTTGTTAGTAATGAATTAGTAATTGAAGATCCTCAATCAAAATGGCAACAAGTTAAATTAGATGATTTTGAAGTTATTAAAAAATTTAGTGAAGGGGCATATTCAAAGTTATATCTTGTAAAAAAGAAAACAACTGGAGACGTTTATGCAATGAAAGTGAGTAAAAAATCAGACATGAAAAGAAAAAATGTTATTGATGGAGTTTTAGCAGAGAAGAAAATTTTACAATTATCTAATACTAGGAGTGTTGTTAAATTATATTATGCATTTCAAGAT